ATTTTGCAAATCATTTTTGGGTAAATGGGTGGGGTGGGCGCCCCCCCCCAGGGGGGAGAGGAGGAAGAGGGGAGGAGGGGAGTGGTTGTTGTTACCATTTCCCCATAGATCTTTGGGAGGATGCATATTCCATAAATATTCCCACCCAAAAAGGATACTTTCACGTTGGCATGGGCAAACGATAAAAACCACACGAGCTCAGTATTTGGAAAAGTTGCACAGGGTATTTTAAGTCCACAGAACAAAGTTTTCTATAGCCGGTTATCAAATTCTAGAATAGGCCCATCATCTTCATAACCGAAACTAACCTAAAAATTAACTCTGTTGTTGAGAGCTCTCAAAAGACCATAGAAGCACTGGAATGTGTCAAAAATTTTCTCTAAATGTCACCCAAAAATGCCCTAAGAGTCCTATTATGTTATGTCGTTTTGCATCATCTTGCAACCTTCAAAATATGACAACAATGTCTCACAAAATATCCAAGGCAGCCAAGCCTTTATACAAAAGAACCTAGTTTATGGATACCACATTGGTAATCATGTTCTTTCAAAAATAAGGATGAACAGACATGATTTTAATGGGTAAATCATGATTTTGTGCCTCAAATTCTTCTGTTGTCGGTCATTACTTACAGTCTTTCTATGATTTTTCACAACATAAATCCATTTTTATCCAAATGAATTTCCTGAGCTTAGTTTTCCACTTGCAGTTGTCAGTCAGTAATTTAATGCAATTGAATAGAAGTAAAAAGCACCCAATATTAGCTATCGTATTCATGTAAGGTTCATTCTGAAAATAACTTATCTTAGGCTCTCACCTTCACAACTTTTGATGCCATCACCTCTGAATCCAGCAGGACATTGGCATCCCTTGTCCAAAGTTTCCTGTCAATAATAAGAAAGTGAAAATGTGTAGCATTACATTTCTTAAGAACTCGAGGGCAAAGCAAATCATGTTGAGAACACTAACCATACAAGCAGAAAATGCTTTCCCCTTGCGTGTTTCATGCCAACAGTCCCCATTGTTGATTGTGCATCTTCCAGGCCCACTTGCTGATAAGGAAACTCAAGCCAGATAAAGCTATTTGTGTCAACTACTGAAATTCAATATACAAATCCACAAGCCCAAAACAAAAAAACTTGTTTCGTGAATGCTAGATGCAGAATGAGTTTTTAATCCTTCAAGATTGGCAAAACAATTAGATGATTTCGACATTTAGCTTGACACTGAAGTTCATTAGTCAATTCTTTTGTTTGATAATTATTTTTAGCAGAAAACATATGCTCACTGGGAAACAAACTGTGGATGCCACCTGGAGAGAATTCACTGTCCCATAAGCATTGGATGGTGGAGATAAATCTGCCACAGATCTCTTTGTGCGTATGGTCTTATGAGTCTGCCTCCACTGGTCCAATCTCCACCATAGAATGTTTGTTGAACAGTTGATGCTCACCGGGAGGCACACAACAGTTAGCTCCCCAATAAGAATAGTAAATGCGCATGGCCCCTTTTTGCTGAATTAGAAAGGAATGCACGATGTACAATGCACTTATATATGATCAATGAGAGAGAACCATAATAAAGGAAAATAGTTCCATACGGCCCGAGCTGCTTTGAAAACCCCAGAATAAGTCTAGTTAATGAATCTTGAATTTGTTTCTCTATGAAAATTACAACATAGAGCATCATAACTGAGTGTCTCTAGATCGAATTTTCAAAAAACTGAGTGTCTCTAGATCGCTCAAGGTATCTGATAATATCTGTTGTTCAAGGGGAGCCCTATAGAGAGTCCTGCTCACCTAATCTGCACAGGTTCCGTCACTAAAACTGATAAACAATCCTAAGTTAAGTTTCCTTACTGACCAATAAATGGGGCCCACTTATGACAAGGACACCATTTTGTACCCAATAAAGCACAGTTACCTCTAATGACAATCCCCTTGTACATTTAAGTTCCCAGCTCAAACCCAATGAGAACATAGTAAATCAACAAACTACTTCTCTCTTTATCTCTCTCATGAAATGCAGCTAAGATCACTTGCTTAATAGAATCCGGTTAAAGCTAATACATGCATTTACCATTCTTAACTAAGCCAAAAGAATGAGAGACATCTACTTTAATTACTGATAAGCTAAGAGATTGAAGAAGAGATGCATAGTGACATCAATCTTAGAAAGGATACACCAACTTACAATGGTAAATTAGAAAGGATACACCAACTTACAACAATAGGATGTGACATTCATCTAACAGAGAAAAGCCATGGGAGTATATAGGAGTGTTCCCAATGGAAACGTATTCCCTCCAAACTCCCTCTGCTAGAGGGAATCTCTTTTGTTGTTAGTTTCTCCGAGCACTCGGGAGTGAGAACAGAGAACCCGTTACCTATACTGAAAATCTCCCCATAACAAAAACCAGTATCAAGGATAAAGTACCTCCTCCAGGCCCTCTGAAAATGCTTGGCAAACCACAGCCTTCCTACTCGGGGCCCAACAAGAAAATAAAAGAACCTCACTTTTTTTCCTTTTGTGAACTTCTGACTGGTCTTTAAAGTTTCTCCCAAGGTTATCTCTGTATGCACCAACAGTACAATAACTTGATAGAACTTTGTCCAAATTAAGCCTTATGCTTCGTTTAGGATATTGCTGAGGCTTATAACTGATTAGCAGCAGCGCTCGATTGTGTGCGGTATAGTAGAGCAATTAAAAAAAAAAAAAGAAAAAAAAAAAAGCAAAACCAGCTTGTTAGTGGTGTTTTACATCACTGCATGAGTGCGATTGGGTGGTCCCAAACCATATAACATTAACAGCAACACCATGTTATGCCTTATGTGCCCGAATCCATTTTGGAAGCTTTCCTGAAAGCAGTCTTCGTTAGCCCTCTAGCAATTCAGCCTTGATTATCATTGGCCTAGATCTTAGGGCATTGTTTCCATCCTCCATTCTTGGACTAGGCCCTCAGCTCTAAATGAAGACATTTGTGGCACAAAATCAGTAAACCCTATACTTGAACCTCAAATAACTAGACCTAATGAGAGAGTGCTGAAACGGCTGACATATAAGCCAGTGTTAATACTGTAATTTCTCAATATCTCAAATAACTACATAAAATCCACCTTGAAAATCTTATTGTTTCTCTTTTCCAAATGCTCCAAAGGAACGCCATTGGGTATACCTTCCAAAGTAGTCATCCTCTACCAAGCAACAGCTTATCGGATCATTGTCCCATGAGAGCAGCCACAAGCTCAGACCATAGTTAATAGGAACGCCCAACTAGGGTGGCACTCCTGCTCCAGAGCCGGGATCTCAACCGGAACCCGTTCCAAGTTTTTTGGGAGATCGCTCCCTTTTCTAAGATTCTCGATCCCATTCACAACGGGGCTTGATCCCGCTACTGCACGGATCTCGTTCCCACTGTCCCACAGAATGTGTTCCGTAACAATGTAGATCTCGTTCCTGAACATATTAGATCCTTGCTCCCACAATTTTAGATCCCTGCTCCTCGATTCATGAAATCGGGGATCGCGGCCCCTATGAACTCAGATGTCAACCACCTATTTGCATCCATATTTAAGATAGATGCTTTATATTTCAGGACCGCATATGTGGAAATGCGGTCCATCCCGCATGAAACAGTTTTCCTTTATTGTTTTACTCTTATATATACTATTAGAAAATGAATCTAGTACTATAAGACCATTTATCTTGAGTACAAGAGCCTAAAATCAACTCTAACCGTAAATTTAACAATTGAGGGTGTTACTTGATTCATTGAATACTTTCTTAAAGATAAATAATCCTGTTGCAGACTTTTCTATCAAAAAAATATGTGCTACATATGTTAGTGCACCCACCATGATTCCGCTTGTGTTGACATGTGGCATGTACGCCAGTTATTAGAAATCAACAAGAAGCTTCATATTTGATTTTAGGAATAGTAATGGTTATCTCGTCTTTTTCAAATCTAATGATCCCCTTAATTTTAGCTCTCATTTACTTAACATTATAAATAAATGAACAAGACAATAATTTATGACCAACTTATAGAATAGCATGTCTACTATGCTCCTATGGGAGGGAGCATCCTGTGGACTTACTCCCTTGGGCAAAAGATGAATTTGGGAAGATTTTTCTGATCTGAAAAGTTGGAAACCCCTAAATCTCTCTAAACAATGATGTTCAAAGAAAAAATCTCACTAAACAATGATATTCAAAGAAAAATAAATAAAATTGGGCAGTTTCTATTCAATGGTGAGGCATTATTTTCTTTCAAGCCCATAGAGAATGAAATTTGAACCTTTATAATGATTATAGCATATGGCTTGAAGATGTTACAATCCTAAAATTTGCGGTCCTATCGTAGGTTGGGTTTTGCCCAAGGGAGTAAATGGATAATTTTCTCCCTTAGAATCATGAAACCTTTTCGCTTTATATAAAGACATATGGCTAACATATTGACTTAACTAAACTAACTAGGTGAGGTTTGTATAAGGCGCCCTCACTGTACGGGACAAGTAAGGTGCGTCACTAAAATTTGTTTGGAGATGTAGATTTAGTACATAAAATCCTATGATGTTTTGAAAATCAATATCATTCCTAGTTATGAATTTGAATTTTTTAATTATTCATTTATATCCTCACATCTTAATGTCAAGATGATCAATCAAAATGTTCTCCAACATCAGAACACTTCTCTAGGATTTCTTATGTGCACCTCACTCCAACAATACAAGATCACAACCTTATATAAATTTTTTGCAAATTAAATTTCCTCTTTTCAGCTCAACATGAATTACTCATATTGAACAGGTCCTTTTAGTCTTTGCAGCTCATGGCATCATCAACTCTATCGAATCCTACCCCAATCAAGATGTACACGACTTATTAACCATAGATGCACCAATAGTGGAAGAATATCACAAATGTAGACACTGTTAAAATTGAAGAGAGAGATCTCACCCATATATATAAGAGAAAAAAAAAAAAAACCGGACCATTTCTGAGCCTCGACAGGACCGGCGGCAGCCCTAATGGCAGTACAAAATTCAACTACTGATCCACCTTAACAGTGGAGCGGCTCGAGTCTCTCTCTCGCTCTCTCGTTTGGTTGGTTTGAAGTGGTTCGAATTTAGAAAGCGCCACAACCAGGATGGACCAATCATAAAAGTTTACCAAGGATTGGTTGGAGCCTGCAACCGCGGAGCTCTCATTCTTCCAGTTCGATACTTCGGCATTCTCAAGACTCAAACCACTCAAAATTAAGGATCTTAAATATAATACAGCCCAACATGAGACCCACATGATAATATCATAGGTTAACATAAAAATCACTACTGGACTATAATCCTAAAAGAAAGCTAAAACAAAAAAAAAACTATCATCCAAAGGAAGACGGATAAGGAATTTCTCTGCTGGACAATGAACCAATTACCAATACAAGGCAGAGGAAAGAGGACCATATCTATAAATAACCTAGAAAAACACCAAAACACAAAAAGCTCCCTCTCTCTCTTTAACTGTGGAACAAATGGTTTTAAGTACATCTGACCAGATTGACATATTGTGCATCAAACTTAACATACTGCATTGTAAGCTTCCTAAAAAAAGAGAGAGCTTGAGTAAGTAACCCCTAATGATCGAACATCAAACATGAATAGGAGGAGCAACAAATTAAGAGAATAGAGAGAGGTAAGTGGTATATCGAGGAGAAATATAGGGACAAGGTGGTAGAGAGGAATGCGTAATAAGCGTGTTTCAGAGAGAGAGGGTGATTGAGCAGAGATGGGAAGCATGCACCACGAGATTTTTAAAAATTCCTCGTACATGCATGTTCCCCATCACCATTCATTAATAGAAAAATATAAAAAAAGCGTGCCAACAATAAATCCACAAGGCACAAAATACAACAAATATCCACCCATGAAAGCACAATACTTATATCACCGCGCTAATAAAGTTCGATACCACACATCTGAATTAAACTGTAACTATCACAAGTTCACAACGGCAAACCGATATAAACACTCTTATACATTCAACATATATACATATTAGCAAAACTAACGTCAGAAGGCTGCCCATTGGTGGTATCCCTTGATCCATAGACCAATCCTTTCCTTCTTTGTCAAGAATAGGAAGATTGAAAAAAGACTGCATGGGAAAAGGGAGTTGGCGATCGGCCTTTCTCAAATACAATTTTGAAAGAAGATGGGCACGATCTACTGCATGATAGTTGGAATTCAAGTTCAAGAGGATTAATCCACCGATTGGACCTAAATGAATCATTTCTGGTAGAAAGGTTAATTTCCCGTGATCCTTCCTAAAGCCATAAGAATTATCTGAAAAGGAAGAATCCAACATTGTATTTCAGAACATGCATATATATATATATATATATATGGTGATTTTGAAGAGCGAACGCTGTATAGAGAATGATGTGAGGATCATAGATTTGAAGGAGTTCATAAGATAGGGCAAAAAAAAAAACCAATGCACTGAAAAGTATAAAACCTTGCTTATTGATAAATACTTTTCTTGTTAACTTTCAAAAGCCCAAAATGCCGACACAAAACATTGTTCTAATCGCACGTTCAAATAATGTATAATGTTGACTACGTGTTCCATTTCCATATGAAAGATCTAGAACTTCCAATTTTGAACGAAGCATCTTCCTGTATACAGTGAAAAGTCCAAAGATCAACTTCTTTTTGACAAGAAAAGTCAAAAGATACACAATGTCTCCAATATGCATAAATCACAATCACTTGATTGTGTTATTTTAAAATGGATTCGGATGGTAGCTGTATTAAAATAATGTTTGATCCACATCAAAGCGAGTTCCCTCCTCATTATTTTTTGACATGTGAAAAGTAATATGTGATACCAACAATTAGATTATGCTTTTGAATCAAAATTTGATAGTGCAAACTTGAAGAATATGAATTAATGAAGGAAATTTGACAATGCAAACTTGAAGCATATGAATTAGACCAAGCAAACATGGTGCCCATTGTGTGGAGATCAACCAAACCATTCACCAAAATAAAATTATCAAATGATAACATGAAAGAGTCAAAACCAAGCGCATAATTAGATTCATCCGGGTTCCTGGTCTGGTTAAAATCACCTGCCAAACAAAAAATTCCATTAGAGGCCTCACAGGCCAAAGAGAGATACGAAAAGAAACCAGATTTGTTCCCAACCACATTGGGACCATAAACATTTAACAAAATACAGCCACAAAGGCCAAGCCCAGAAAAAGAAACAGAGAGAACCCGAAAAGAGACCGACAAAACGTCTCCAACCAAGACCAAAGGGTCCCAAACAATAAGAAGACCAAAGGGTCCCAAACAATAAGAAGACCATCAGAAGCACTCTGGGGGGTCTAGGGCCCCAAAAAAGCCGCACGTTCGAGACACCAAGGCAATGCAACTTACTCTCCTGAAGAAGTAAAATGTGCGGTTTGAAAGCCCGCACCAACGTTTCAAAGCTCACTTCTTTCTCGGCTCTCCAATTCCCCTGATGTTCCACGAGCAGATCTTCATAATTAATGGAAAGGGGTTCACCCCTGGTAACCCCGAAGGGGCTAGAAGCAAGCGGAACTGAGCAACAAGTGTCTAGGCCTCATTTTGACGAGCTCTCCACCTTCTGGGTTCCAGTTGAGATAGTTAATCCCAATGGCCTCTTCAACCACCACAATGAAGCTCGTATAGTCTATCTTCGTGGCACTAAGTATCTCGACCGCCTTACCTTGAAGTTTCATTCTCCTATATAGTTTTTTAGACCAATTACGAGAGCGAGGAGAAAGGTCCTCGTCATCTGAGAAGGATTCAATGACCACAATAGGAGGAGTGCCAGGGCAAGTAGCTAAAGGAAGAGCCCGAGGCAGGTGTTCCTATGTAGCATTCTGTGAGGGACCTTCATAATAAAATGGCCCCAGTTGACAGCAAGTTCCCACTCCGAGAAGTTCTTCTTAACCGCCTCAACTAGTAGAGTCAAAACTGAGTCCACAGAACAGATGTGTATGGGCTGGTCTTTGGCTTTCACAGTCGTTATCCTCTGGGCTTCCATTTCTTTTAATAACGGCGAAGAGACAGAGAACAAGCAAAACCAGAGAGCAAAGCCAAAGAAGGATCTTACCAAAAGCACTATAAGCTATCTTAGAAAGGTGGGATGCAAAAAAATATTCGATAGCAAAATCCTTAAAAATGAAGGTAAGATCAGTGGCAAATGTACCTTTCTGAGGCAAGTAATGACGGTTGGGACTTGCCTTTTTGTCTACTGGAATCACCACCTTACAACTGGGAGGGTCCTATCTATCTTGAGAGCGGGGATGATGCTTGGGGAACCCTCGCTACTTGAACCTTGAAGGTCGCTCAATTAGATGGTCGGTGAAGCAACACCACTGCCAGGGTCTCCCGAAAAGTGGCTAACCTCAGAACGCGGCAAGGTCTACGTAGGGCTAGAGGAGATGAGAGAGAGAGAGACGGTATTTTGAGAGAGAGAGAGAGACAATATTTTGGGTCTTTGACAGAGAGGTGTTTTGAGAGAGAGAGAGACGCATGGAGAAATTTTTGTTCACATTTTATTTCTACTAGTTGGATTACGTGCGTTGCACGTAAGAATGAAATATGCAAATGCATAAAAAAAAAATTTGACAATTTAAAAAAAAAAAAAATTATAATGTTAACCTTCAAGATAATTTAAAAGTTCTTTGCAAAAAATATAAAAAATATATATATATATATATATATATATATATAATATAACTTACTATATACTATATTATTATTATTATTAATTAGTTTA